CCGGGCTGGCTTTGAACCGAGATCCTCAGATCTCAGCCTCCTTAGTAGCTAGGATTACAGGCGTGAGCCACCAGCGCCCGGCCCAGCCTCCTGATTCTTGAGCCTATGTTGTAACTTATTCTTTAAATCTAAATTCCCCCACACACATACACACACACACATTTCTGTGCATCAAATTTATTCCATTTCTATATCTAGTCTTTGTGCTTAAATATAAAATGTTTGGGTCTTATTTCATCTTAAATCAGAATAATCCAAAAATACTGTGTGAAGATTAATATAGGCACAATATATATAACTAGCACAATAAAACTGCTTAATTTAGCACATGGATCTTGGGAAGATTACAGTTTTAACAAATACTAAAATATACTTTGATTACATAAACAGAAAGGAGCTATCTTCAGTGACAGGGCACTTGCACTTCCCTTGCATTCATGAGGCTCTATGATCACCAACAAAAAGAAGATAAATAACCAGGCACCAGTGGCTCATGCCTATAATTCTAATTCTAGTTATTCAGGAGAGATCTGAGATCTGAGGATCATGGTTCAAAGCCAGCACAGGCAAGACTCTTATGTCAATTAAGAAAACTAGAAATCGAGCTGTGGCTTAAAGTGGTACTATACTAGTCTGAATGAAAAAGCTCAGGGACAGCATCCAAGCCAAGTTCAAGCCCCAATCAGACAAAAAATAATTTTTATTCTTATTTTTTGCCAGTAATGGGGCCTGAACTCTGGGCCTGGGCACTGTCCCTCAGCTCTTCAGCTCAAGGCTAGCGCTATACCACTGGAGCCACAGAGCCACTTCTGGCTTTTTCTGTTTATGTGGTGCTGAGGAATCGAACCCAGGGCCTAGTGCATGCGAGGCAAGCACTCTACCACTGAGCCACCTTCCCAGCCCATAAAAAATATTTTTTAAATTAAATAAATAAATAATAAGGAGTTATCTCTTTGTGGCAGTTAGAGGATCCATATGCTCACTACAAAATGTATGAGTCAATAAAATTCAAAAAGGAGACACACCTCCTTCTTCATCCGGTAATACTCATCAATGGCATATTGGTATTTTGGGGTACTGATCCCCAAAACAGATGCAATCTTCTCTCCAAGAAAGTCACACACTAAAGACACAAAAGTTAAAAGACATAAAATTCCATAAGCATTTCTTATGTACTTTATTTAAGACAAGAAAAATATAAAAGTTGCTATTCCTATCCTCCAGATTATCATGCTTTTTCTGGGTATCCAACAACAGTCCATCCTTCCTCCGCCCCCCAGATTATTATTATTATTTTGCCAATTCTGGGACTTGAACTCATGCCTGGGGACTGTCCCTGAGCTTCTTTTGCTCAAGGCTAGCACTCTATCACTTGAGCCACAGCACCACTTCGGGCTTATTCTGTTAATGTGGGTGGTACTGAGGAATTGAACCCAGGGCTTCATATATACTAGGCAAGCACTTTACCACAAAGCCACGTTCCCAGTCTTTTCACAGATTTTTGAGACAAGGTTTCATTATGGAGGTTAGGCAAGCCTAGAACTTATGATTCTCTTAACTTTATATAGTGCTAGCATTATAGACATGCACCACCATACCTGCCCACATTTCTCTTATAACAATTCTTACCAGTTATGCTTAAGTTTCATGTCAATTTCTTTAAGAAAAACATACTGTTAAAAAGTTAGTCTATGCTGGGCACAGGAGGCTCATACCTGTAATCCTAGCTACTCAGGAGGCTGAGATCTGAGGATTGCAGTTCAAAGATGGCCAGGGTAGACAAGTCCATGAGATTCTTATCTCCAATTAACAACCAGAAAACCTGAAGTGGAGCTATGGCTCAAAGTGGTAAAGTGCTAGCTAGCCTTGAGCAAAAAAAAAAAAGCTTAGAGATAATGCCCAGACCCTGAGTTCAAGGCCCACAACCAACAACAACAAAGAGAAATAGGAGGAGGAAGAGGAAGAGGAGAAGAAGATAATACCAATAGGAGAGTAAATGCAAAAGTATGTAATAGTTGCTAACAGGATTCAAAACATGAAAATCCTACCTACATTTAATGGTGCCATTTTCAGAGAGGTTTTTATTTTTTTGTTTGCTGGTCATGGGGCTTTATTTTTTTTAAAGTGTTAAGATGTTTAGAAATCAATAGTATTTATTCTCACGGGGCTTTAAAATCAGGGTATGGGCACTGTCCCTGAGCTTTTTTTTTTTTTTTTTTGCTCAAAGCTAGCACTCTACAACTTGAGCCACAGCTCCACTTCCATTCTTTTGATGGTTAACTGAAGATAAAGAATCTCATGGACTTTTCTGTCCAGAGTGGCTTCAAACCCTTGATCCTCAGATCTCAGCCTCCTGCGTAGCTAGGACAGGAGTAAGCCACCAGTGCAGCTTCCATTTATTTATTTTTTAAATTAAAGGTGAATATCGTCTTCACAAGTTAGATTGCTATTTTCTAGTGTTAGACAGATAGCATCTGAGGATAAAATGATTAACTCTCCATTGTCTTCTCCAAATGTGAACATCCCATTTGGCAAAACTCCTGTTCTTAGAACTTATTACAGCAGTTATACAATAGTCAAACAGAAGAGCAATACCTGAGAGGGTTGATGTGGCAGCCCGAAGCATGTAAAACCATAAATAAGGGCCCCAGGTAAGTTTTGTCTGAAACAAAAAGTCAGGTTAGCAACATTCATTCCTAAACTCATTCTATATATTTAGGCCAGGAGTAAAGAGCCAAATATTTGGTAGGCATACACAATATTGTATAAGTGGTACTACAAACTGATTGTAATCCAGTAAAAAAAAATCTAAATCTTCTACATTCACCCAAAAACAACCACTATTTTAAGTCCATGGAAGAACTAATCATACAAATTTATTAATCCGGAGCTTTCTTTAACCTGTCCTTTTTTATCCCCCCTTCTGGACTGTATTTTTTTTGGGGGGGGTCCGGTCATGGGGCCTGAACTCTGGGCCTGGGCACTGTCCCTCAGCTCTTCAGCTCAAGGCTAGCACTCTACCACTTGAGCCACAGTGCCACTTCGGCTTTTTTCTTTTTGCTTATGTGGTGCTGAAGAATCGAACCCAGGGCCTCAGGCATGCAAGGCAAGTGCTCTACCACTGAGCCACCTTCCCAGCCCCTGGTCTGTATTGTTTATAAGTACAACCATCAGAGTGTGTGTGAAATCAATAGAAAGAAGCTTAAGAATCATACAGTGTGACACACATAGTGAGAAAGTGAAGATTCAGAGAAACTAAGCAAAACAATTTAGGGCATCTCTTTAGTGTTGAGAAAATAAGAAAAGTAGTGTGATGAATTTTTGTTTCTGTAAAGATTAAAAAAGAATTAAGCTTTAAAATCAAGTAACAACATTGGGTGTCAGTGGCTCACACCTGTATTCCTAGCTACTCAGGAAGGTTAAATCTGAGGGGCATGGTTCTAAGCCAGCCCAGACAGGAAAGTCCACGAGACTCTTGTTTTTTTGTCGGTCATGGATCTTGAATTCCGGGCCTGGGGACTGTCTCTGAGCTCTTCAGCTCAAGGCTAGGTCTCTACCACTGAGCCTCAGCATGCCACTTCCCCACAAGAATCTTTTTTTTTTTTATTTTTTATTTTTTTATTTTTTTTTTTGGTCCAGTAGTGGGGCCTGAACTCTGGGCCTGGGCACTGTCCCTCAGCTCTTCAGCTCAAGGCTAGCGCTCTACCACTTGAGCCACAGCGTCACTTCCGGCTTTTTTCTTTTTGCTTATGTGGTGCTTAGGAATGGAACCCAGGGCCTCATGCATGCAAGGCAAGCGCTCTACCACTGAGCCACCTTCCCAGCCCCACAAGATTCTTATCTCCAATTAACCACCAAATGATAAAGCATAGCCCTGTTCACCCAGGCTCTGAGTTCAAGCTCCAGCACCAGCACACACACAAAAGTATTTGGATTGGAAAAGAAGACTGGAGCTATCTGTAAATGGCATGATTTGATCTCATGTCACCAAAAATAAAAGTATTAGAAAATTCAGAAGAGCCAGGTGCCAGTGGCTTATGCCTATAATCCTAGCTACTCAAGAGGCTGAGAGCTGAGGATCCTGGTTCAAAGCCAGCCTGGGCAGGAAAGTCTATGAGACTCTCATTTCCAATTAAGCACCAGAAAGGTGGAAGTGGTGCTGTGGCTCAAGTGGTAGAGTACTAGCCTTGAACTGAAGAGCTCAGGGACAGTGCCTAGGCCTAGAGTTCAAGCCCCACAACCGACCAAAAAAAAAAAAAAAAATCAGCAAGACAATCCTGTTTCTATATACTAGCAATAAATCATCTGAACACAGAACTAAAATTTCATTTACAATGGCATCAAAAAGAACAAAACATTTAGAAAGAAATTTAACACAGGAGTACAAAATTTACACACAGAACTCAGAAACAAATTAAACACAATAGTACAAATTTTACACACGGAAAACTACATGTTAGGTTAGGGCTATATCTCAAAGGTAGAGCATGTGCTTTGTATTTGCAAGGCCCTTAGGGAAGGAGAAAGGGAAGTAAGGGAACTAACCACATAATACAGAAAAAGTTAAAAATAAGCCATGAATAAAATTATTTACTATTATTAATATAGCAGTACTCCACAAGCAGATATACAGATTCAAAACATTCCCTACTTGGCTACATAAATTGAAAGAATGATTCTAAAATTTTTCTGGATTTTTAAGGATCTAAAATAACCAAAACACTCAAGATAGCAAAACAAAGTTAGGGGGGCTGGCTCAGTGGTAGAGTGCTTGCCTTGCATGCCTGAGGCCCTGGGTTCGATTCCTCAGCACTACATAAGCAAAAAGAAAAAAGCCAGAAGTGGCGCTGTAGCTCAAGTGGTAGAGCACAAGCCTTAAGCTGAAGAGCTGAGGGACAGCGCCCAGGCCCAGAGTTCAGGCCCTATGACCGGACACAAAAAAAAAAAAAAGAAAAAGTTAGGAGTCTTAACTTTCCAGTTTTAAAACTTAGTACAAAGCAATGATGATCAAGATGGTGTCATACTGGTACAAATAATAGATATGCAGAACTACGACAAAATCTAGAAATAACACCATGATTCGCTTTTTTTTTAAATAAGGGTGATGTATAGAGGGGTTTCAGTTACGTAAGTAAGGTAATGAGTACATGTCTTATTGAACATTGCTACTCCCTCTCGTTTTCTCCCACTTCCCTCCTCCCTCTCTACTTCCCCCTCCCCCGCCAGGTTCATTTCCAATATAGTGTCTTTTTTTTTTTTTTTTGGGTCCGGTCGTAGGGCCTGAACTCTGGGCATGGGCGCTGTCCCAACGCTCAGCTCAAGGCTAGCGCTCTACCATTTGAGTCACAGCGCCACTTCCGGCTTTTTTCTTATGTGGTGCTGAGGAATCAAACCCAGGGCCTCAGGCATGAAAAGCAAGCACTCTACCACTGAGCCACCTTCCCAGCCCTCCAATATAGTGTCTTAACACCATGATTCTATCAAAACTGATTTAACAAGGAAGCCAAAACAATTCAGTGTTGGGGGGCGGGGGATCTTCAAAAACTAGTGCTAAGTCAAACTGGACAATTCACATTCAGGACTTTTACCTCATGCTATTAAAAAAGGGAACCAAAGATGTAAGTGTAAGAGCTAAAACTGAAACTTCAAAAAGAAAATGTAAAGCTAAATATCTAACCTCAGATTTGGCAACATATTTATAAATATATTAAAAACACAACCCAAAATAAAAATACATACTTGAGGGCTGGGAAGGTGGCTCAGTGGTAGAGCGCTTGCCTTGCATGCATGAGGCCGGCCCTGGGTTCAATTCCTCAGCACCACATAATCAAAAAGAAAAAAAGCTGGAAGTGGCACTGTGGCTCAAGTAGTAGAACACTAGCCTTGAGGTGAAGAGCTGAGGGACAGTGCCCAGGCCCAGAGGTCAGGTCCCAAGACAGGACCAAAAAAAAAAAACCATACTTGATACTTCATCAAAATGGTGGTGGTGGTGGTTTTTTTCTTCTAGGAGGGGAAGGGAGGAACACCGAAAGGGAGAGAGGAAGGGTGAACAAATGGAATCATGTCATTCAGTATACACTATATGGAAAATTACCTATGTGGCCGGGAATGTGGCTGAGTGGTATAGTACTTGCCTAGCATGCATGAAGCCCTGGATTTGATTCCTCAGTACCACATAAACAGAAAAAAGCTGGAAGTGGCGCTGTGGTTCAAGTTGGTAGAGCACTAGCCTTGAGCAAAAGAAGCTTAGGGTCAGTGCCAAGGTACTGAGCTCAAGCCCCAGGACTGGCAAAAAAAAAAAAAGGGGGAGGGGGCTGGGAAGGTGGCTCAGTGGAAGAGCGCTTGCCTTGCATGCATGAGGCCCTGGGTTCAATTCCTCAGCACCACATAAGCAAAAAAAAAAAAAAAAAAAGCCAGAAGTGGCGCTGTGGCTCAAGTGGTAGAGCGTTAGCCTTGAGCTGAAGAGCTGAGGGAGGGACAGCACCCAGGCCCAGAGTTCAGGCCCCAAGACCGGACCCAAAAAAAAAAAAAAATGACCTATGTAACTTATGGGCAGGGATGGGAGGGGGAAATTACCTGACTTATGAAAGGGTACCCCTCTGTACAGCACATTAATAAAAACAATAGTTTTTTTATTTAACTTTTTTGCCAGTCCTAGAGCTTGAACTCAAAGCCTGAGCACCATCCCTAAGCTGCTTTTGCTCAAGCCTAGCTCAAAGGTTTTACCCTTGCTAGCCGTGGTTCTGCTGAGCCCAAAGACAATTAATTCTTAAGATGTGGAGAACTGGGTACTAGTGGCTCATACCTGTAATCCTAGCTACTCAGGAGGCTTAGATCTGAAGATCTCAGTTCAAAGCTAGCCCTGGAAGGTAGGTATGTCTGTGAAGCTTTTATCTCCAATTAACCACCAAAAAGAAGTGGAGCTGTGGCTCAAGTGGTAAGAGTGCTAGTCTTGGGTACCGAAGCTCAGGAACAGTGCCCAAGCCTTGAGTTCAAGTCCCAGAACTGGCACCAATAAAAACAATGTGGAGAAGTTAGCAATTTTTCATCCTAGTGACAGGAATATAAAATGCTTTGGAACAATATGGTGGTAATGCAAATGTTTAAATAAGTTACTAAATAACAATAACTCAAAGCACATTTACACAAAAGCCTGTATAGTATAGCAGCATTATTCATATCAGGCAAAAGGGGGAAAGAACTCAGATTTCTATTAAATAATAAGTGGATAAAGACGGGCGCTGGTGGCTCACGCCTGTAATCCTAGCTACTCAGGAGGCTGAGATCTGAGGATCGCGGTTCAAAGCCAGCCCGGGCAGGAGAGACCGTGAGACTCCTATCTCCAATAAACCACCAGAAAACCGGAAGTGGCGCTGTAGCTCAAGTGGTAGAGCGCTAGCCTTGAGCTGAAGAGCTGAGGGACAGCGCCCAGGCCCAGAGTTCAAGCCCCACGACCAACAAAAAAAAAACAAATAAGTGGATAAATGTTATGCATTGATAGAACAGAATATTATTTGACCTTAAAAAGTAATGAAGTACTAAAACATGTTATAATATGAATGAACCTTGAAAATATGCTACCCTCCCCCACAGTATAACCCCTGTTTTCACTGTATTTGATGTTGGTACAATTTGGGGAGTGGAAGGGAAAAAACAAATTGT